AGCAACCATTCTTCTATAGTAGGCAAAGAATCTTTCTTCCAATATTGTCCAACCAATAACCTTGCCGCCGTAATAAGATTCAACATTAAAATAGTTTCTTTAACATCACAATCTACAATAATACCTAACAAGAATAATTGTGGTGAAAACTTTATCTTTCTATTAAAAATCTTCTGAATGTTCCATCAAATCTTAATCCAAAAGGCTTTTATGTTTTTAAACGTCCACCAAATATGGTAATAAGTTGCATCCAAGCATCCACATCTCCAACACTTAGGCTGTAAATTAGGATACATGCGAGACAATTTCTGTGGATCCAAATGCCACCTATAAAACATTTTATAAAAATTTTCTCGTAGATTTTGAGCCTGAGTAAACTTTACATTTCCAACCCAAATTGCCTCCCATGTATCTAGTAAAATCGGCTCTTGAAAATTTTCAGCCCATTTTATCATACAATCTTTAACTAATTCCGTCTCTGAGTCCAATTCCACTAAAACATTATAAACTCTTTATATGAGCTTGATTCTGATCTCTAATTTGTTTTATCAAATTCTGATCTTCCAAAGTAAAACCAACCTTTTGATCTAAACTCCATCTATCTAACAATTGCCTATACTGAAACCAAGAGTAAACAATATTTTCTTGCCTCAATTCATCCAGCGATTTTAATTGCCAATCCTTCCCTTCCAATTTAAGCAACTGATTATAAGAAATCCTATCCAACTTCACACCTCTTGATAGCCCCTCTACTGCGTGTCCAGGAATTCCCCAAATTGGTATTTTATAATTTAATCTATAATAATATTTCTTCCTGAAACTCAAATACTTTGGCCACCTAATGAGAAGGAAGGACTCCCTGGAGAAGGGCCTAATGCTGGGAAAGATTGAGGGCAATAGAAGAATGGGATGACAGAGAATGAGATGGCTGGATGGAGTCACTGAAACAGTAGGTGTGAACTTAAATGGACTCTAGAAGATGGTAGAGGACAGGAAGACCTGGAGGAACGTTGTCCATGGGGTCGCGATGGGCCGGACACGACTTCGCAATTAACAACAACAACAACATTTCTTCCAGACATGCAGTAGAGCAATTCTTAAAATATGGGACTTAAAAGCCCTATTTACTTTCTTATTATAAATAAAGTAAGCATGCCATCCATATAGTAAATCCCATCCCTCCAAAGAAAGTATGTTTTGATTTGTTAAATTAATCCAATTACTAATCAATGTTAAAGCCGCAGCATCATAATACAATTTCAAATTAGGCATCTTAAGTCCTCCCCTTTCACGTACATCTTGAATAATCTTAAGGTTAACTCTTGGTTTTTTCCCTGCCCAAATAAATTTATTGATAACCTTCTGCCATTCATCTAAATTAACATCTTTTTTCAAAATAGGTATCATTTGGAATATGATCATCTTTTGCAATCTTCTGACAAGCAAAATCAATGGGGAAACCAAATTCATTTAACAACCATGTCATTAACTTAACAATTGCAGTGATTCATTTAACAAATGTGGTAAGAAAAGTCGTAAAATGGGGCAAAACTGACTTAACAAATTTCTCACTTAGCAACAAATTTTGGGCTCAGTTGTGGTCGTAAGTTGACCTGTAATACATTTTAGCATACAAGAACATGAAACTGTCATTTGTCATACAACCAACTGAAACTTTTGTGTTAGTTTTCATATGCTGAAACCAATCATATGATGGAAAAAAAATATATTACGCTAACCCCAAGCTAGAATCGTCCAGAGTGTGAAAACTTTACTCGAACTCAACCATTTCAATTTTTGGTGGTTTTCTGATTGGTGATTATTGGTACTGTAAATGACTCATCAGGGCAGCTACCAGGCTGGAGAATTCTGGCATATGCTTGCATAGACAAGTTCAGCCAATGCATGTAATGATATGGACTTTATGGATAAAATGGTCAGGCTTTAGAGCAGTGGTTCTCAACCTGTGGGTCGGGACCCCATTTGGGGTCGAACGACCATTTCATGGGGGTCGCCAAACAACGCAGTCCGCCATTTTTTCCCCCTTTTCCTTAGCTGTGCTACTCCCTTTTATTCTATTGGCTTTTGAAAGCCAATAGAATAGACTCTTTTGAATAGAGTCTAATTCTATTGGCTTTCAAAAGCTAATAGGAATTGTCTAGGCTGTCTCTGCCCTGCTGAGCCTGCCAAAAGTCCCATTCTGCAAACGGTGCTGCACCAGTTGAGTAATCCTCGACTTACGACCGGTTGAGTAGTCCTCGACTTACGACTGGTTGGGAGTCGCAGCATTAAAAAGGTTGAGAACCACCGCTTTAGAGTGTTGCAAAGTTGTAGCCCTATGATAACTTCAATCTGACCTAAGGTTAAGGTTATCACACTACACTATTTCAAGGTCTTTGAACAAAAGACTGTTTTGAAGACTGGCTTACTATGTTCAGGGTGAATTGGCCACATCAAACTGAGCAGGAACTGTTATATGAAATTTCTTTAAAATGAGATCCCCACTCATGACCTTCTAAAGTCTTAGCCACTGTGCTAATATAGCAATAATGAAGATAGGTTTTATATTACCTCATTAATGGTTGAGTGATACTAAAAAAAATGTGATCGTGTTTAATGGAGAAATTGCCTATGCATAGAAAAACTAGTCAAAGAAACACTGGTTGAAGAAAACAAACAGCCAAAATATATCACAGAAAAAGCTTCATCCTCTCAAAGAAAAAATCATGAAACAGAACGCATTTTTCTACATAACATTTTGTGTGGATTGATTCTCCTAAATTTCAGAGTCTAGTATTATGTCCAATATAAATTGTTGGTGTTAAAACCCTTTTATGGTGCTGACAATGCAACCCTATCATCAAATGGGGAGCTGTTTCTTAGGACATGCCCCCACATCAAAATCTACAATTACCAGATCAATGAATTGTTCACTTTATGTAAGGTAAGCTATTTTCATCGATTTTTTTCTGCCCACCTATGGGCAGGACTGTTGGTTCCAAGGGTCTACTATTCTTCCAAAATACAACTCAATGACAATCTAGTATATAAGAGAATAGAACAGAAATAGTGAATTCCCAGACATAGACTAAAGGTTGTTGTCACCTATATAAGCAAACAGCATTGGAATGAAGGATGGACAGGAGAAAAGAGTGTAAATTATTAGCAATTAATTTTACAGTGACCAAACTGTCAACCCAAAATAAACTGACCCTGGCTTGCTGGTCAGTGGCTAAGGGCAAATTCTACAAAAATTCAGTTACAAAAGTTTGTGATCCTTCAAGTAATTTAAATCATAAGACATTTTTCATCTGTACGTTTTTCATGGCTGGGATATATTTTATTGATTCTCAGCAAAGGGCTGGGGAAATTTACAGCACTATAGAAATGTTTTACAGCAACCCTACAGGAATTTGCCATTCACCACTGAACTGAGTGCTCCATCTTCAGACATAGTAACTTGTATGCAGTTTGTCATTTTGTCTTATATAGAGAATGGTTCTTCTCCTAATCATATTTTCCTGCCTCAGGATTGCTGGTTGGAAATTATATTTGGGGAGGGGACATAGAGTGTGCCAGGAGAGGAGGAGCATAGGAAGTCACGCTATTTACTTCAACACAGGCATTCCTAGGTTTATAAATTAATATGAACTTTGGATACATTAATTCAAAAGTCATATATTGATTACATTTCAAAGTAATATAAAATGCAAATAATCAGCTAGATGGTTTAGTTCAGCAATCTCCAAATTAAGAGCCTACGTGATATAGTAGTAAAGCTAGCTAATGTATTAGATTAGGATCAAAGGAATGCATTTTCAATAACTGGTAGATAACATTATCTCTGGTAATTAGTCATGGTAGATAATTACCCATGCCCTATTAGTCATTCCTTTGAGATGTACGTTTTGAAGAATTCAGGAACCTCACCCAACCATTTTTGACAATCCTTCTTTAGTTTTATTATTTTTCTGAATGTACATTGATGTAAATTGATTCCTGTTGTTAACCACTAGGTCTGTTGTCAAAATAAAAAATGGAAAAACTAAAATATATTTTTCTTTGAATCAAAAGTACTTAGAGATGTGGAAAATTGCTTTGATCAAAAAAAAACAAACAGCAAGAGCTTAAACATTTAATTAAAGATTGTTTTATTTAAACATGTTTTCTGCCAGATTAACTTTGGGTAGAAATATTTAATAGAGAGGTTCAAAATGTTTGCAGTTTTTCCATAAAAGTACACCTGTTTCTTTATGTATGCAGGTGTGTGTGTGTATGTGTGTGTGTGTGCGCGCACATATCCATATTGATATCTACATTGAAATTAATATATTGTTGTCCATAAGCTCCACATAGTGACATTGTGTTTGCTTAGCAGGTAAACAAATGAACGGGAATAAGAATAGCGAACTGCAGGTGCACAGTGAATGTGTGCATTGGAGATTGCTTCTATGCCATTTGGGGACCTTTACTAACTTGCATCCCCAGAGCTGCCTTCTGGAAGAAAGACCATGGAGTTGCAGGCTCTGCCTACTAGCCCAGGGCTTTTCAACTGGTGGTACACGTATCACTTGTGGTACATTAAGAAGTGGCAGGTGGTACACAGCCCTGCCTAGCCAAGTGTAGTGGGGGAGGGAAAGAGCCAGAAACAGGCAAGGACTTACTGTGAGAGAGTCCTCTGGAGAAGCAGAGTGGCTGGGACTAGACAAAGGGCCGAGGCTCGCTTCTGGCTCACCCTCCCCCATGAGAAAGGAGGAGAGAGGGCGGAGACAGGAAAGGCTATAAATGGAGGCAGTTTGGGCCGGAGAGGGAGAGAGAAAAAAAAGCAGCAGCCTTGGGAGGAGCTGGAGTCAGCTCTAGCTGCACCAAAGGGAAAGAAGAAGAAGAAGGAGGAGGAGGAAGAGGGTGGGGGGAGAGGAGAGAAAATCAAGCAGGCCAGCAATGAGCCAATCTACAACTGCTGTGGCAGCCACTTGTGCGGGCAGCAGCAAACAGGCAAGAAATGCAGTGGGGGAGGGGTTGCCCTCCAAGAGGAATGAAAAAAGGCAGCAATGGCTGAAGGTGAGGCACAGGGAAGGAGATGGAAAGTGGAAGGATTCTTATGTGCTTTTGTGACTTTGGAGTTCTGGAATTTGTGCAATGTGGTCTTTGTGTTCTTAAGGAGTGTTTGGCAATTTCTATTTGGCTGGTGGCTGATGTCTCATGTTAGCTTCTATTGCTCTGCTATTTTAGCTGTAAGTTTTGCTGCAAGGGATTTTGAAGTATTTTAATCCTGATTTTGCCTGTAGCACTCCTTTACTTATGAATGGAGCCATTTGGGGAGGCTGCCTTAGCGGGCAGCCAATACTTACTATATTTTTTTTTCTTCCTTAAGTGCCAGCTGAGCTCCTTAACTTTCCTTTCTAGCCAGTAACTAATTCTTAAAGGGGGAGTGTGCCTTTTAAAGCTAGTTTGTCTTTTCTGTCTCTGGAAGCTTTTCCAAGTTTGATGAATATATGGAAGAGAGAAAATATAGGGGGCGGGTTTCAAATTCTTCCTTCAGAAGGAGGTAGGCATAAGAAAGAGGGAGGGAGGGAAGTCCCGCCTTAACACTTGGCCATCAGCAGCCCTGCCATTGAATTTGCTTGTCAAAAGGTTGCAAAAGGGGATCACATGACCCTGGGACACTGTGACCATCTAAATATGAATCAGTTGCCAAGCATCCAAATATAAATCACATGACTCTGGGCATGTTGCAATGGTCATAAGTGTGAAAAATGGTCATAAGTCATTTCAGTGCAATTGCAACTTTGAACAGGTTTTTTTGGGGTCATCAAGTTTTTGACACCTTGCTAGGTGGTACTCGAATATTGCCATATCCTAAAAGTGGTACAATTGGTGAAAAGGTTGAAAAGCCCTGTACTAGCTTATGCAACAGTTTATACAGCAGGGCTCATCAACACAATTATTTAGGAATCCTCCTAAGGTGTGAGTCTTGGACTATCTCTGGGGGTACCACTGGATAGAGCTGGAAAAAAAACTCTTTTCCTAAAACCTCTACAGAGCATAGTGCTGGCCCCAAACATGTCATTGCTTGAGATGAAGAAACAAGCTGGACCTCTCCCTTAGCTTTTGGCAATGGAGTCACTTTTTTCAATGCTAGTGATGGGACCACAGCTTTCACTGCCCCTGAAAAATGATAGGCTATGTAGGCGGTGCAAATTGTGTCAGATAGAACTGTCAACCGACTTCACCCGTACCTTGCTTCTCTCTGTCTGCATCTGCTGCTGAAATAGGGCAAGTATAAAGATAAGGCTAGTTCCTGGAGCAACCTTAGACCAGACAGAAGGCTGGCAGTATAACTGGAATATTGGTTTTACTTGGTCTGAAACAATTTCCGATGTTCTTCCTTTTCAGTGCTATGTGCACAGAAGCATTGTGACTCTTTCTTTGCTGGGCCCCTCTCTCAAAATGTTCTCTTTATGGCCATAACAATACCTGACATCAGTCATTGTGTGTGTGGGGGAAATAGGATGGGGGTGGGAATCCAGCTCCGGGATGACATGTTTGTGATGGAACAGTCCCTCTCTGGGAAAGAGGTCTTGGAAGAGAAGATGTCCAGTCATTGTGCTCCAGACCACATATAATTTACCTTCTTTATACTGTAATTCAGACATATTTCTTTATTTTTTCCTCCAGCTGAGAAATGGAAAGATGGACTTGTAGGTATTTATTATCAATCTGCTTTCAGCAGTTTGGAATGCCCAACTGGCACAAACGCTGCATTATCAGGGCTCTGCAATCCTACATATTAACAGCAAACTTACATTTCTTGAGTTGTGGTCTTTATGTAGCTAAAATAATGGTGTACAAGAGGGAGACATCTATAGCAGTGGTGGTGAACCTATGGCATGGGTACCAGAGGCGGCACTCAGAGCCCTCTCTGTGGGCACACCCGATGCCGCTGCCAGGAGCTCATGCAGGTCCATTAGGCCACCACGGCGGCCTGAGGCAGGGCCAAGGTGCATCAGGTGCATGAAGGGAACAGGCTCCATGCGTGGGCCAAGGGCAAGATCTGCGAGGGGGCCAAGATGACCAGCAGTGACCTGCTTTCCAACTGCAAGCAAAAACAGATGGGATGGAGTAGGAGCGTCCAGCGGTCTGCGTCACATGTCTCCCCCCTCCCCTACTCTGCCTGCTGCTGGAGGGCTGGCCCGGTATTGGCAGCAGACTGCGGAGCCCCAGAGTGCACCAGTTGAGGGGCCAGCAGTCTGTGACTGCTGACAGACACCATTGGCCCCATGTGCTCACTGGCCTCTGTGTGCAGGGGCTGATGCTGTCAGGCAGCAGCCACCCTGGCCCCTGCCTCGCCTTGCCTTGCCCTGCGGCAATGACACCCCCACCTTGCCCCCTGCCTCACCTCATAGGATGAGCCTCCTGAGCCACCGCCACACCCACCAGAGACCCCCTGGATCTCCCCCAACCCTGCCCGGCATCCACAGGCTTCCTCACCATGAGCAACATCAAGGTGGCCACGCCCACTGTAGCCACGCCCACCCTGTCTGCTGTGACCACTGCAGTCACGCCCACCCAGTGGGCCACACACCTTCACCCCCTCCCCCCCGAGGGCACCACAATGCTGATGTGGCCCTGGCACTTTGCGATAAATAAGTGGGTTTGAGGTTGCGGTTTGGGTACTCAGTCTCTAAAAGATTCGCCATCACTGATATATAGGATTCAGAGGAGGGAAGGAGGGAGGGAGGGAGGGAGGGAGGGAGGGAGGGAGGGAGGGAGGAAGGAAGGAAGGAAGGAAGGAAGGAAGGAAGGAAGGAAGGAAGGAAGGAAGGAAGGAAGGAAGGAAGGTCTAAAAGCAGAGAGGAGAGAAATTCATTGAAGACCTGATCTATCAGATCTTGATTAACATTGAAAGGGGAGAAAAGGGTGGGGAATGAAGGTTGAGGACAGAATCTGCTCTCTAAATAGACCCAAACAGGAGAATATTCATTAGAAAGTCTTGCTCCAAAAGAATGTACGGTAGATGTTAAAGTCCAACATGTATGGGTAGCCCACAGCTTACAACCCTTCATTTAGTGACCATTGGAAGTTACAACAATGCTGAAAAAGTGACTTATAACCATTTTTCACACTTACGACTGTTGCAACCTCCCCAAGGTCACATGATCCAAATTCAGACACTGGGCAACTGGCTCCTACTTAGGACTGTCGCAGTGGCCCAAGGTCATCTGATCACCCTCTGTGACCTTCTGACAAGCAAATTGGATTTGCTTTACAAAAGTGTCACTAACTTAACAACTGCCGTGATTCACTTAACAACTGTGGCAAGAAAGGTCATAAAATGGGGCAAAACTCACCTAGCAACTGTCTTGCTTACCAACTGAAGTATTGGGCTCAATTGTGACCATAAGTCGAGGACTACCTATATAGGTATCCTCGACTGATTATAACTGAGCCTGAAATTGCAATCATAAGTCATGTTGGTCATTGAGTGGGTCATCACATGAACGGGCCCGGTCTTATCATCTTTTTCGCAACAGCTGCTAAGTGAACACGATGTCTGTTAAGCAAATGTGGTTGTTGTTAAGTGAACAACATTGCTGTTAAATTGAACGCATTGTTCACAATGGGCTTTTTTTTTTTTGCCAGAAACTGGAAGTAAATGCTGGTTTCTGACAGAAAAAAAATGTTGCAAATTGATGTCACATGACCACAGGATGCTGGAGAACAGCCATAAATGCAGTCTGGTTGTGGAGCACCTGAACTGGGATCATGTGACCATGAGGGGAAGCCATTGAAACTTCAAAATTGGGATGTAAGTCCCTTTTCTGATTTGTTGTAACTTTGAATGGTTGCTAAGTGATCAGTCATAATTCAAGCACTACCTGTAGTTGTAAACTGAGTAAGTTAAAGCCACCTTCAGTATAAGGTAATCTCAGTTTGGCTAATGATATTTAAGGGCTGTTAGTCTGCCATAAAAAAATTCTCATTAACTTATCTATCTGTGTAAAATATCTAACGGGGATTAACAGTGGAATCCCTCTTAAAATATATATATTAATCTTGCTGTAATATTCATTTTAATAACATTCATCTTACCCCAGAGGCTTAATGGAAATTTCAATCACCAAGTTATTTCTACTGAAATTGCATCTATACACTTAACCCGTTTAATTCAACATACGGTGATATATTTCAGGAAAGATGTAAAGCCAAGTATTTTATCGAATCCGTACAATTGTAAATCCTAATCTCTTGCAGTAAGGGGTAGGCTGAAAATAAAGCACATAATTAGAATTTCATAAAAGTAAAGAATTAAGGCAACAATGAAAATAAATTCAAGGCAGGCAGCAGGGGAAAATGATCAACAAAACAAATGTGATTTTTATGCACACACTCTGAAGCACATGAGGTTCTCAATAATTGTAACAAATGAAGAATCAGAATAACAAACAAACAAACTTGCATCTCCTTAAACTGTGATTGATAAAATGCAAAAAAGCAGTGTGAAATTTTAAAGCATTTCTCTGATTAATTCCTAAAAAAAAATGGCAATAGCTCAAGTCAACTAGCCTGGTCTTTACTCTGAGCGAAGCATAACTAACAATCCTTCCTTTGCAGGCAGGGTTTTGTAGGCCTGGGGCAGAATGGACATGCCTACATAAATAGATAGGCAACAAAATGATCTATCATTAGTGGATATTTGAGTAGCTACCTTTTGCCCTATGATGAGATCTGCTGTTATTTTAACTTGTCACATGCTACATTTTATTATGTAACACGTAGTATTGTAATTATTTTCTGCTTTGCATCCACATCCACATGGAAATTTGTTTCATTGTTTAGTAATGGATTTCTTCCATTTTGGTGAAGAATATATGGCCATCATGTGAGAAAATGAATGGGTAGGAAGACCAGAATCTAAGGGTTTGGACATGCCTTATTCTTGCCTTGATTCTAACAGTCTCTGAATATCAAGCAAAACATTCTCTGCACTGCACAGCTGGAAAAGACCCGAAGAAAATTTTTAAGTTTAATAAACATTTATGTTGAAATTAGTATATCTA